ACAAACGACGGTGCATATTCCGAAAGAAAATGGACAATGCGACACATTAGCAGCGTGAAAAATGACTTATTAAAAGATCGAGAAACCTTTTCTGGAATGAAATTGGATGAAATTGGACTAGTGGTGGATAACGACCGCTACGAAATTATTGACAATTTACCTTGTAGCATGTCCTGCAAATCACGAGCAAAAAGATTCCAAAACGTCTGTGCACTGCACTCGCTGACATTCAATTCGGTGGGAAACCTATTAATAAGAAAAGTCTTTAGACAAGTGATATAGCTTATCAGTATYTGCACTGCAAAAAATAGGAGCCTTCTGTACGATTTTGAACCGATCTGTGAAGATCTGAAAAGGTTTCAACCGTTAACCAATCCTGCACAAATACCAAGCTAAGAGATTCTTTTTGACCAGAGGACATGGCGATTGATGTGATTCAACCCTATGAGAGAGCCACATTATAAGTTGATGTCATATGAAGCACATTGGCCGKTCTCAATTTGTGATCTCGAGAACGTTTTAGAGACATCATTCCTTTGGTACTACCCAAGGCGAGCGTGAAAGAGTTTTTAAAAAAGTTCACAAGCTCATCAAGCTCAAAGGAATTTAACACTGTTACAATCTATGACCCGACAAAATGCAGTCATCAGAGGAAACCTTTGCTGATTTGAGTCAAACGAATCAGAAATGAGTAGGTTTTGCTCGTAAAATTTTGCTAAACTTATGAAACTTACTGATTTAAAACTTGTGTGTAAATCCCACGGTCTTCTTCWATCACTGACACTATTAACGAGATCAGTTTTGGCCAAAAATCCAAGTTTTTAGGTCCAGATTGTGACTCTTGACTTTCTGGAACGCTACGTTCTGATGCAAGCTCTCGATCATACAAATCAACRCAGTTTGCAAACAAAAAGGCGTAAGTGGCTTTCATGCAATTCTGAAATTAAATGTAAAACGAACATTTTAAAAACGCGATGAGTGGTGACTTTATTTTCAGGTTATAAGTAAACAACTTACTTTGACACATTCTGCTACTATTTCTGCAGTTCTTGTTGGTCGAAGACCCAACACCTGTAGTATTGATAAAACCACTTTATTTTTAATACCTTATACATGCGCCCTGTTTTTCCATATCCTTTTTTTCCTTCTTTATCTCTCTCTCCCTCTCTCTCCGCTTTTTTTTTGCTGTTGTTGTTGTTGTTTTTTTTCGGTTTTCCTTTTGCCTTCAAGGATTCCTTTTTCTCCTTATCYTGTGGTCGTTGAAGACAGATTCTTTTTTTCTAGGGCAATGTTGTCAGCAGTAAATAATAAGAAGGAAGTGAAGCCATACCTTCATCCTAAAGAATGTTATGCTKGTCAGAAGATCAACTGATGACTTCAAATCGGTCAGCTTGTCAGGGCTGGATGACGGGAAATTTGTCTGAAAAACGT